ATTTATAAAGTACGAGAGTTTCTTTATTTTATCTTCTGTCATAAGTTCACTACTCATGATCGTTTTTAAAACCGTGGTGTACTAAATTTCCATTTCATTTTATTTTTGATTTAGATTTACTCTGTGGATGAAACTTATGACATGTAAATAATGTCTCATCTGGTTCATGAGCTTGCCAATTTCTTGCCATCTTTTTTCACACTATATTAATTTGGAATCATGAGATATTCAGCTGTGCTTGGTGCAAGCAGTTGGCTTCATCACACACCTTTTGTATTATTATTCATATTTTTTTTTATTTATTTATTTTTTCATTATTATTATTTTTTTGCTGCTCCTAACCATTGAGATTTATATTCATATTTCTGTATCTGGTGGTATAGAGTAGGAATTTTACCTAGAGCATGATTTCACTTTTTGTATTAGTTATTTGAATATTAAGATAAATTTTTTCGTTTCGAGCATGTTTGTAGAAATGTTAATATGTATTTTTTACCTGATGATTTATATTCTTCATTCTAGTTAATTGAATAGGCAGTCGTCTTACTACTTCAGTTTACTACAGAGCTGTTATTAATAATCATTGTGTGTTCATATAGTTCTAATAGTTTTTGATAGTTAAAAGAAATAACTGCTAAGCTTAGAGATGAGACTCTGGAGCAATGTGTTGAGCATTCCCCTACCTGACTAAAGGTAAGGTTGGGGTTCAGATTCACCCTTAATCGACTGAGAGCTACAAGCGATGTTTTGCCCATGGAAAGGAAGAAATAATAATGTTGTCTTTGCTTCTGACTAAAGTTTATTTCTGTTGCTCCCTGTGTCCTAATAGTGATAATTTGCTTAAATTTTGTTTTGTTTTGTTTTTTGATACTTGAGTTAAATTCACCAACTACTTGCGAATCACCGCATGCCCTGGCTTAAGTTCCATTTTTTTTTTCTGCTCATCTGCTTTTGCTTAGCTTTACTTTGATGCTTTACTCACAGCACTGTAGATACATCACCTCATATCTTTATTCATGCTAATGATTCAGACAATGATTAAGTTTTAAGTGCTTACTGTAATGATCATCTATGTGCACATACGTGTATTTATTTATCTATCTATTTATATCTTTGTTTTATAATGTTTAAAATGATTGTTTAGTTAATTTAGTTCTGATTTGCAGTGTAGATTAAAAGATTGTTAAAGAAATTATGCAATTTTATTTTATTTTATTTTTTATTTTTTAGAAGAGGTGCAATTGTCTCTGTATTGAGGTTGATGAATTAGGCTGTTCTCCCTATCCATGAATGATAAAGCTTGTAGAGAGTTACCTCCGAGTCAAGAAGACAACACTTGTAGTTTAACAGTCTTGACATATTTCTTTTTAAAGTCAAATCCTCAAACGTGGGTCCTTTTTTCATGTTAGAAATTTTGATTTGTTTTCCATATAGAAATGAGAATGGAGAAATGGAATAGGTTGTTCTTACTGCAGATTCAGTGTGGTCTGGAAGTCTGTATGAAAAATGCATTTAAAGTGATAAAACATGCCAAAAGCACCCATGAATGAGAATGTCAGGACAACTTTGTAGCAAAAATGCACTATGATGTAGATGAAGCACTGAAAGCTCCTGTCACTTTTCCTCCTCCTTCTTTCCAAAACTTTTAAAATTGGGAGTTGCATTCACTTCAGACCAAAATTTAGATGTAAATATGCCATAATCATAGGCAAAAAAAGAAAAGAAAAGAAAAATTAAATAAAACTGAGGGAAAGAAGTATCTGAAATATTTTGTGAGTAAAGATCTTTTGTTACACAATAATTGGATTTTGGTAAATACTAAAAAGTGCTGATACTTCTGAAAAAAAAAGAATAAATAAATAAAATAAATTTGAAACTAAAATATAAGAGCATAAAATGAGAAAGCTGCAGGGAAGAGAGATACTTTATAACTATTGTTATTAAATATTTCACACACCATAGCTGATAGTGCTATAAGTCTTGTAGGTTTTTAAATATGTAGTAGACTATCACTTATAAGATGGATGCACAAAGGCCAGCATTTTCATCAGAGAAGAAAATTATGTTGTACACAGAAAAGCAGATAGCATGAAGCTTACCCATTCTATTGCTGTTCTTATGTTAATGATCTTGAGAGTACTTTTCTTTTTATTTGAGAGTTTGATAAAAGACGGAAAGTATTCAAATAATTTTCTTGAGAGATCTTTATACATGAGAGAGCATTTAGATCTTATTTTCTCTAGCTACTATATCACTACCCAAGGCGATATCTACAAAAATAGGTTAATTGTGGGCTGGCCAAAGTTGTCCAAAAGGCTATCAGTAGCTTGGTCTGTTTCTCTCCATAGTGCGGACTCATTAAGATAAAGGCGACATTTGAGAGGGTTTGCTTTGCTTCTGTCCTTTCAGCTCAAAATTTCTCTTTATTCTGTGTACAATCTTTTTTTATTTTTATATATCATTTGTAGATATCTGATATTAGCACATCCACTTTACTGGTAAATTATGTTCTAAATTAATGTGTAGGTTAACACTAGCTTAGACAGCCTACCGAATACTTTAGACCTTTGTAGACACTTTAGCAGCAAGAAAGTATTGAGCACTTGAACATTTTTTTCTTTCACTCCAGAAAAAAAAGGAGGAAAGGAGGGTGAAGAGATTGATGAAAAAGGAAGATCAATGAGAGCCATAGATAAGCTAAAGTTTAAGATTTCATTTTTTGTTTCAAAGAAACAAGCTCATATTCTTAAGAAAGAGAATAGTGTTGTCTATTTCCCTTGCCTATGATTATGCTTGGCATTGTACTCTGAGTGGTTTGCAGTGCATATGAGATCATCAAACTGAAGGGATACACCTCCTGGGCCATCGGTCTCTCTGTCGCCTCTCTGGTGTCATCTATCGTCAAGAACATGCGCGCCTGCTATGCTGTCTCTGTAGCTGTTCAGGTATGTGGGTAACGACTTTCCTAAGTTAGTGGCAGGCAGGGTTATCTTCCAGCAATAAAAGGCAAGCAGAACAGATGGCTGGCTATGTACCAGCTTCAAGCAAGCAAGCAAACAGTAAAAGGGTAAAATCACATTTATGAATTGGGTGCCACTTACAGTGCTTATGAGGTGATCAAGATGAAGGGATACACTTCATGGGCCATTGGAACTTCATGTGCTGTTCTAACCAGGGCCATTCTCACGAACCAACGTACTGTTTACGCCGTGTCTACAAGTGTACAGGTACCAGATGATAGCTGGAGGAGCTGCAGTGTCCTGCTGTGTATTTTCTTTTGTTTTTTCCCTCCTTTTTCATCTCTGAAGCTCTGCATTTTCTTTTCCTCTGGTGCATTTTGAGCCAGTTTTTAAAATCTTTTTCCCTTGATCCCCGCTCCTTTTTCATGACTCAGAGAGAAAGAGAAAAAAGATAATCATGCTGATGATTCCAAAAATTTCAGAATAAATCTTTTGTAATCATTGGACTATTGCGAATATTGGCTGAACTTACTCTAAGCCATTTTATACCATGTCAGAAAAGAAAAAAAAAAGGAGAACATTGCCTCTTTGAACAGTCGTGATGATGGTAGTAGCATGGTACTTTTCTTCAATGTATTTGAAAGACAATCCTTAATTTAGAAAAAAAAGGAAAAAATCAAATTGGTCCATGAAAACTATATACTTGCCTCTGTGTTACCGGTATGCATGTTTAGATTTACCAAGTTAACTTTAACGAGGTTTCAGATTCTATATTTGTTACCCTGACTTGGTTCTTAGATTTAGATATTTCATTATATCTAAATTTTTTATTACCTTTATATAATTTTAGTGATATGCTTTGATGTGCATAATGTATCCCAATCCAGGAATAACAAGTTTCTGACAACCATATCCAATATAAAGCAGTGATTTTTCTTTTCTTTCTTTCCACTTTCTACTTCTTTTGCCATCTCATTGTGAAGCATTATCCTTTGCAATGCTATTTATACATTGTTTGTCCAAGAATATGTGTTGCACAAGGAAAGCATAAGTTGCCATTGCTGTGTAGTCAAATCTTTAGCCATGTTCAGCAACTTAGATTTTATGCAGTGTATACCCTTTCAGATGATTAAAGCTACGTTTCTGCCACTTGTACACACCAAGCTTGCAAAGATTGGCATATCTATTAGGAAAAAGATGCCAAAGACTACTGCAGATGAAAGAAATTGTATTTTTTCTAAATTTTATATCTATGTATTCTAGAATATATTCTTCCAAATTATACGATTAGTTGTAAGGTTATACTGTACATATGTGAGATGAATTATTTGAAGAGTGAAATAATTTTATGGTTACCTTAGTGTTATGAAATTCATCCTTTGAGGTTTGTAGCTGAGAGGAGGGACATATACTAGGGTATTTTTTGATAATTCTGCAACTAAATGAGTGATATAATTCTGAAATAATTTTGTTGGAAATGGTATAATGACTCAGCAAATATCTACTTTAAATATAAGGCTACAGCTAAATTGTGCCGTGATATGACAAAATTGCCAAGTTTGTAGGATGTAAGCACTATGACATACTACAAAGGTAGGATAATATTAGGATTATATATTGGTAAGTTAGAATAGTACTCATCATTAAAGAGAGAATAACATTTATCACAGTTTGAAGTATAAGATGTTATTTCTATATTTAGGAATATAAGGCATTATTAAGTTTAAGAAGGCTAAGTATGTATTGTGCAGTATAAGAGTTGGATAATTGCCTAATTTTGCTGAAACAGTGTGAATAGATGACATAGTAGACAGTAAGATGTTAGAAATGCTGACATAGTTGTATATAGTAGTGCTGCAAATGGTGGCAATTATGTATATATTATTTTTTATGTTTAGGATTAATTGTCTCTTTAGAAATGTGACTATCAAGAAAAGTTTCCCCCACAATAAAGAGGAAATACTATTATAATTCAAAGTGATTTGAGTAATTAATGTTAAGAAATTTACACAATGAGACTTAAGTTCTTATAAATTTGATCTTGAATTTTGTCTTAAACCTAAGTCAGGTATAATTTCCTTGGATTAACATAACCTTTTTGTTTTTGGAATGTTTATACCCATGTCCCGTTTTTGGCACAAAGACCCCATGAATATCATAATTTCTAAATAAATGCCCCCTTCAAGTCTTGACAGTAAATCAATAACTACCGAGTGTTACTTTGAGAGTGGAACACATAAGTAAAGAACAATTTTTTTCAGGAATAGATTAAAAAATTGGATCAGTTTAATAATTCATGATTTTTTTCTGCATTGTTCTGGTAGTTTTTTTTATTATATCATTAAATAAATGCTTGATTCTTTTACATTTTCATATGTAATGATTATTTTATTTATAAGTGATAGTACTTAACCATAAGGCAAATTTCTCTATCATCTGATATTTAATAGAATAGTTTATAGTTTGGGGCATTATTGCTATAATACCTGTTCTCTTTGCATTAGAATTACCATGGTATCGACAAGGATGTGTTCCTGAGCTTGCCTGTGGTCTTGGGTGAGAACGGTGTCACTCATGTCATCAAGCAGACCCTAACAGAAGCTGAAATTGCTCAGCTGCAAAAGTCTGCTAACACACTCTGGGACGTTCAGGCCGGAATTCAGTTCTAAGGCGCGTGATGCAACAATGGTAATGTGTGGTGGTAGTTCTTATTACAAGTGAAGATTTCTGTTGCTTTCTCCATTTTGATGCATGTAATAAAAAATCAAGTCTTGGTCACATGTTGAATCATTAGAAGGCATTTTTTGCTGGTCATTTATTATCATAGATGGAATCTTAATTAATGTTGTTCCAGTGCGTTGTCTAATAACTTACGAAATTTTCTTTTCTCCACAGTGAAGCTCTAGAAAACAACCTGACCTTGAACGTTCAGCAATGGTTCACGCTGGTGGCACTGCTTGAAGGATCAAATTTCGAGGAGTGTAAATATACTGCCAAACGAGAAGGAAGAGAGAGTTTACATGCTGCTAATGTGCAATATTTATTTTGAGGATAGAATGGTTCTTGATTGTACTAAGGATGAAGTATTAATATGCAGTTCCAATACAGTGTATTTTGCATTCTGCTGCATGTGCTTTTTATGTATTCAGGAGATCATATAGAGTAATAACTGATTATGGCTTATTGGTATAAGAGTGTGAGTGCCTAAAGGCCAGATATATGTGATGAATTAGAATGATATTCCTCATCTCGAATTTAATTGTAAGTCCTTCTCTAAGAAAATCATTGCATTTGATTTTGATAAGAAACTGCGTATTTTAACAACACTTTATAAAACCTTTCTCAAAATAAATACAAGTATAGGTTTTGTAATAGGGATCAGCATTACAATTCGTAAGATCTTGACACTGAACACATTATATTATTTATTTGTCTGATTAGATATAGAAAATATGTAATTCCTAAACCAGTATTCTTATCAGATATATCTAATATATTTTGATGTATCAATTCTCATCCTGTTTCCTATGAAATGAGTATATAACAATAAAATTATTAGCCAAAAGGCATCTTTTTTAAAGTAGACTAATCATACATTAACTAAAAGTTAGGTTAGCAAAGTATAGGGATTTTGTTCGGTTCATTGCTCTCTTCTGTAGATATAAAAAGGGTATACTTGAATGATTACTTTCGTTTTACTTTAATTGTGACTTCTGGTGTATTCTGACAAGCATAATGCAGTTTGTATATGTGATAGAAATATTCAAGTACTGAAAGGGAAAGTAAGTAATTTCTGTTCCTTACCCGAATCAAAAAAGGAAATTAATAGATTTTATTATCTGTTGTAGCATATTTGGGTGTATGAATTATTTGAGAATGTTTTATTAGCATTAAACTCTGAGCACATATTGGATAGTATATGAAATTTATTCTATTATATTCTTTATGTCTACATCAATATGCTTTTCACTACAGTGTGATAATACACTATGAATGGTGTTTTTGTATTTTTATTTATAACCCTATTTAAGTTAAAGATGATGTGATATTGGAAATTATAAATCTATTGAATAATGATTGGATTAGTATTATGGATACTTTGTCTATAAGTTCAGGCATATTTGTATAAGTTTGTATATTTAAGTTTACATACATTCAAACACACACACACACACACACACACGACACACATCACTCACATAAAAAAAGTGTAGACAGACTACATCACATGTTAAAGAATGATGCAATAACAATTACAATGCTCGGTAAAATTAACCGAAGTGAGAACAGGTGGAGAGGGAGTGTGGGAAGAGAAAGAGAAAATGAAAGATGGAGAAAGGGAGACAGAGACAGAGAATGAGAGAGGGAAAGAGAGTGAGAGAGAGATATAGAGGGAAAGAGAAAGAAAAAGAGAGAGAGCGAGAAATATAGAGAGAGAAAGAGAAAGAGAAGAGAGAGAGGAGAGAATGGAAAGAAGAGAAAGAAAAAAGAAATTGAGAGAGAGGGGCTATGGATGATGGATGTCTGGGAGGCCACGTATCTGCTCTAAGAAAAACCCATTAAGATTCTCCAAGGTCAAGTGGACAAAGAACCACGAGTAACTGCAAATGAACTCAAGAGATTGTACCAACAACTTCTCCAAAACGTCTCCACCAGAAGAGTACAGTAGCGCCTGTGACGACCCCGACTTCTAACATCGCACCCATGACGAAAGCCACTGTTAAAAATGAGCAAAATATGAAAAGGATTATTTTTCAAATACCTTGCTTTGGATATGGAGAAGTGGAAAACTATCTTGTGTAATGATTAGGCAATTTTTATAGTCACTGGTAACCATGGCGAGAACGTAAGGTCAAGATCATAACCCGCGCGGGGCGACAAAAAAGACACATTATCCGGTTCAAACAAGTGACAGCTGATTAAGCTTCAAACACTTTACCAACCTGACTCGCGACAACATTTTGGTCGAATCTGAACCAAAGATAAATTGCCAAATGGCACGCATACATTTACACACACATACACACAACACATATATACATACATACATATATATACATGTATATATGTAAATACATATATAATGGTTAATAGTTAATGGTTAAAATAAATGTCCTAGACATCTAAGATCATATAGCACTATAGGAAGGTGTAGTAAAGGGGGATGTCAGGTGATAGTTGCTATGTGTCAACTATCTAGAGGAGTGTTGAAAGGTTGAAGATGGGGGAAAAGGTTATGGTGGTTTAGGTAAGGGAGTTAGATCAAGTGAAGGATATTTATGCGTCTGAGGAAGGAGAACAGGTTGTCAAGGCAGAAGCTGTGGGATTCTGTAAGGATGTCTGATATGTTGGGAGGTCGGTGAAGGGATAGGTGTGGAAAAGCAGAGGTACGTGCTGTATTAAAGTGTGGACAGGAGAAGAGAATGTGTGGGACTGAAAGAGGGACGTTACATAGAGGACACAGGGGCGGGTCTGAGCGTGACATTACATAGGCGTGTGTTAGGCGAGTGTGGCCAATACGTAAGCGTGCGAGGGCCGTCTCCCAACGTCTGTTTTTGTGAAATGGAGCTGACCAAGAGGAGATTGATGGTCTTACAGTATGCAATTTATTGTTGTGAGTCTTGACCAAAAAATTGCCATCGGGTATACAAGGTTTTAAAGTGGGGGTAATAATCCGTAGCTGGGATATGTGAGAAGCGTAGTTGAGGTGATGTGGACATTGCGGCATAGCGGGCAAGAGTATCTGCCTGTTCATTGCCAGGGATTCCAACATGGCTGGGTAACCCAGCAAAATCTGACAGATTTGTGACGCGTGGATAGATAGAACGACCAGTTCTATATATATATATATATATATATATATATATATATATATATATATATATATATATATATATATATATATATATATATATAATATGTGTGTGTGTGTGTGTGTGTGTGTGTGTGTGTGTGTGTGTGTGTGTGTGTATGTGTGTGTGTGTGTGTGTGTGTGTGTGTGTGTGTGTGTGTGTGTGTGTGTGTGTGTGTGTGTGTGTGTATGACTATTTGTGTGTATACATATACATGTCTAGGAATTTTTCATATTCAAAAATATTAGATATATATATTCTTACTGAATTACTGTTACCTTGCTAATATGTAAAGGACCTTTTATTGAAATGGTGTACTTCCTCACTATGTTCATTGCCTCATGCAATTACGTCAATCACCTTCATCAAAATGGGATATAAAAAGAATCATATTTCCATCACCATATATATTTACAAAAGTTTAAACAAAAGTATAATGTGTAAATATCTGAGTCCTTCCGAGCGTGTCAAACGGTCTATGTGTCACGTGCTTGTTTAAATTTGGCGCTGCTCCGATTAACCTGGGAGGCGGGGGGGGATACGGTCGGTTTGTTAAAATTGTGCCAGGCCCGACCCAATGAATATTCGTATAAACAGACATCTATATACACAGAAATAAATGCATATCTATCGATCTATCAAATATACATTTATTTTTCTATCTGCACGCGTAAATATGCATGTGTAGACTGATAGAAATGCATTTATTTCTGTATATGCGCATGTCTGTGTAATGAAAGTCTTTTAGGTTGAGCCTGGCACAATTCTAACAAACCGGCCGATAGATTATCGTGGCACCTGGGGTCAACAAATCTGTGTACATAAAGACTGAAATACAAGAGATAACTTTAAAAATATTGGATTTATAGTTGATACAATATGCCACGCTATACGAATTAGAGTACTAATTAACTACAACTTTTCATCACGAGGCGGGGGTCATAGTCTTCACTCAAACAATCGGTATAGTAAAGTGACCCATTATATGACAGAGTAAGACCAGGTAAGGTATAATACACGTATGCCCATTATGGGTATGAGGAAACGTACTTTTAAATACAGAAATAATCATATGTGAATAAACATTTTAAATCTGTAAAAATAATTATGAATATTTTAGGGAATCTATTATTTTACACTTGATTAATTTTGTCTGATACCACAATGACAATATACGAATACATAGTACATGGGTAAATATGTTATATAATCTCTTTACACAATTTGTCAGGGAACATTCTCAAAATAGTAATAAGTACACAATTTAAAAAAATCTATCCCACAACATAACCATGAAATAGACATTTTGGATTTCATGGAAAGCCCGAGAAACCCGAATTTTGATATGGGTAGCATGACTTCATGATCTTAAGGCTCATGGGAAGGACTGAATTCATTCCTTTGTGTCTGCTAAAACTACAACAATGATATAAACATTTTTAACCATGAACTTTTATTCTAACAAAAAATAATAAACAGGCATATCATAAATGTAAATCTTAACAACAAATGTTATAAGAAAAACAAGAGATATTCTCTACTAATTTCATTCAAGTCTAAGGTTAAATCTACTTAACACTTCCCCTTTACCTACTAAATAATCATTACTATGAACTTAAATACAACACGAGATGAGATTGAGGCAGTCACCCTTACTCTACCAATATCTTTCCGTTATTTATTTGTACATAAAGTAATCTATCCCTCCCTTCTTACTCTCACAATTTCCTCTCTTACACTTTACTCTGTTTCCATCATTCCCTTTACAATTCATGTCTCGATGCAATAGGAATATGCCATTGCTATATTCCCCCCAAAAGGATGAATAAATATGCAACAGGAACAACGAAGGGACAAGAAACACATGGATATGCCATATTCTTGTCCTTCCCTTCGTTGTTCCTGTTGCAATATGTTCGTCATGAATTCCACACATGAATTAGTATATTTTAATAACCAAGCCTGATGATAAACATGGCGTATGTTGCCATCTTAATTATCACAATTTAATACACAAGGGTTCACAATTATATTAATTTACTTATCAAGCATCGCAACCTCCAATATCTGAGCGAAATACAATTGTTAATACCGGCAATCATTATATCTCTGTGTGGTAAAGCGATAATGTTCCTTTTGACGAGGGAGCGTGCTGATAAAACTATTTACCACTTTTCCTCATTGCATAATTGATATCAAACAAACCAATATTTTATAAAACCAATCCTTTTCTGATAGTTATCATAATTTACTCTATTAATCATAACGCTAAATTTTGCTATACTGATATGCCTTTGAAGAATAAAAGTACGTATATAACGGTTTCTGTGGGGTCTATATATCTTTACAGTTATAAAGATTGTATCATTCAAATTTGAATAAAATCAACGATAATAACAATAATGATAAGGAAATCGTTAATATGATAATTACTAAAAAGGTAAGTGATATAAAATTTAATTATAGTAATAAAGTCTCATTGATAATATCAATGATAATAATGATGATAGTGATAATAATATAATGATTATGATAATAATAATGATAAATAGATAAATAATAATGATGATGGTGATAATGACAATGGAAAGATAATGAGAATGATAATGATTATAACAACAAATGATAATGATACAAAAGCAAAAACGATCAGTGTTAGATAATAGTAAATAAAAAGTAATGATAATGATAAATAATGATGATAGTGATAATAATAATAAAAATAGTAATGATAATAATAATATAAAAATAGTAATGATAATAATAATAACAAAAATGATGATGATGAATGATAACGATGATAATAATATATACTATAATCATAAAAATTGGATAAACGTGTATAATGACATCATGAATGATACGCAGAAAATATAATTGATAATAACAACATAATATAAATACGTTTCAACAATAATAACAATAGTAATATATATAGCAGAATTAACAATAACGATAACAATGTCAATACAGTAATGATACAACGATAATAATAATCATCATAATAGTTATTATCATTACTACTGCTATCGCTATCATTATTACAACAAAAAACAACACTAATAACATTGACAACAGTAGTAATAATGACTATCATAAATAGGACAGTTACATCGCGTCTGGTATAGTTGTTACCATCAACATTGTTATATTTTTCATCATAATTGCTATCATTAAAATACGACCCAAGGACTATATCAAATAATATCCATATTCCTATTATCATTATTCTCACAACTGTTGAAGCATTAAGTATATGAAGGATGCTATTCGGGATCATGCTTAGGAATTTAAACGTAGCTAACAGTCTCAATGATAGTTTACAAAAAAAAAAAAAAAAAAAAAAGAAAAAAAATAAATGCCTAGCCTGCAACTCGAGCTTAGCAACAGTGCAATAACTTCATGTCTGCAAGTTGCGATCGCTCTTTGTAGACTCATTTGCAATACATGTCCTTTTTAAGCGTGTGAACCTGTTACGTATTCATTTCATTGTATCTTTTGTATCTTTTTCGTTTGTTCTCTAATGCTATTCCTTATATAGCATGTCCTTGGGAGGTGCCAGTTCAGAATATGCTTGAATTTAATAAAGGTAAGAGAGAGAGTGGATAGTGAGACACAGAGATAAGGAGCGAGCGATAGAGAGAAAGAGAAGGATGGAGAGATAAGAAAGTGGGAGAAAATGTAGGTG